TGGCCCCTGAGCCCCCTCCTCGCCTCTGCCCCGAGCATGACGTACTATGGAATGAAATGCTCCTTGGTCAGCTGCCTGACCTGTGTGTCCCCTGCGCTGCCTGTAGCGAGTTGGGAATGCAGTTGCAGTATCAGAAGCCAAGAAAGACCCTGATTGGTGCAGGCATCCCCCAGCACCAGCTAAAAAGACCCCTTATCAGTACTTTCTTAGGGTAAATACAGGAACCTAGCTTCATACCAGCCACTGTGAAGAAAGTTAACACTGTCCTGACTAAAACCCGCAGAGCTGGTCTACAAAATACATTTAAATTAATGGATACCAAAAACCTGGCTTCACTGAAGTCCAAGCAAAACCTCTGATGACAGCAAGAGGTTCAGGATGGCACCTACTCTCTTGTACAAGCCCATGTAAACATCATCTGTGCTGGCGTTCTCTGGCCCTTGGAAAGCTCCTAGTGCTCCTGTCCTCAGACACCACTGGCAGTTGCCTACCCAGCCCGTCTGCCCCACGGTAGCACCCAGGAGGGCTTATTCTGCACGACAGGCTGGAGCTTTTTAAATACTCTCTTGTTTTTGCTTTTCCTTTTGACACTCTTTTTTCCACATGGAACAGAAAAACCAGCACCAGCAGCAGAGTAAGAATTCAAGGTGTCAGAACTGGCAATGGGAGACCTGTAAAAAGTTTGCTATCATTAGTCTGTATTTTAAAAGAAAACTGTCAACCCAGCTGGCAGAAACCAGCCTTCTGGAAGCACCTTTGGAATAGCACCATTTGATGAGAACAGATATGCAGAAGTACCTTCTTCAGCTTCTCCGCTGCGTGTTTGCAGGGAGGAAGGGACTGTTTATGGCTCAGTCCCGGTGATCTCACCTGCATGTTCCCTACCTCACCGTCTGCAGACGTCCAAGCAGATGAAACATCTCCCTGGGCAAACCTACTCACTGAACCGAGGTCTCACGCTTCACACGGGAAATACTGCAACAGACCATGTCAGTGATCTCAGGGAAACAAAGGAATCGGACCAGAGAAAGATCAGTCTTCCTGAAGCTTCGTTCATTCAAAAAAATTAACCAGGCAGAACGCTTCTAGACACGACCACTGACTCGAATTATACAGTGACTCCCTTGTTAGTAAGACTCCCACCTGTGGTTAAGATACACTTTTATTGCTACCATGTTATGAAATGACCTGCACTTAGTTATTTTGAACCATTTCCCAGATAGTTATACTTCTGCAGGACAGTGAAAGAAATTCAGTAACACCTACACGGCACTGACAATGGTCCAAGCTGTGCGATCAGAAATCTGTTCTGCTTGCGGTCACCTCTTCAGTGACCTCCAAAACGCCGTTTGTTGGGAAGCGTAGCAAAACATAAACCCACAAGCCATGAACATGCCTCTGAACCAAGTGAGATCTACTGTCATTGTAAAGTTACTTATATTCAGCCTGACAAGACAATCAAAGAGGAACTGGATTCTTCCAATTTAATTACGGGAAGAGCCGAGCTTCCTTCCAGGTACAATGTTCCAGAACTGGCTGGATGCAGTTGGGAATACCTAACCTTGTTGCTAAACTGGCAGGCAGCGTTCAGAGCAGGTTCTGGCTCTAAAACACGGGTGCACTGATGGAGTCTGGTGAATTCCATCCTACGCTGAACCTTCCAGAACAGTAACGTAGCTTTACGCTACCTGTAACTTCTGCATCCAGCGGGGAAACGGAGGCTGCCCTAAGGGACTGTCACAGCAGCACGGGCCACCTTTGGCAGTCCCACGCGTGAAGGACATCCTCAGCACTCAAGGGCTTCTGCTGCCTTGAGGAATCCAGTGTCTGGCTACACGGGCAATGGAAGAGGTGCAAGATGCCACCCAGAGGAGAGGTCAGAGCAGCTCCCACACCCAATCATGCCAACCTGTTCAGTTTTTGTGAAACAGGGTAAATAGCAACTTGCAGCAACATAAGGCTGGGCCACGATCACACCTGTGCGATGCTTTTGGGATTGGCAGGTGTTAAGAGAAGGAAGAACTTAGACCTATTAAAGCCTGTATGCACAGTTACACAACGCAATGTACCACATCACAAGTACCAACCATGCAGGAATAGGTAATTCAGTGCCCATAACCAGTGTTCAGCACATTCATCTTTTAGCTATTTATGAAATCATTTATGTAACAATCTTCCTTGAAGCTGAAAGGGAAGAGAGCCAGGGCTTGCCAACCCCTTCTATTCTGTTCTGATACAGCTGCATGTCAAAGAAATGTCTACCATGATTTTCATCTATCTCCTACACCTCGGATACTTTTCCCAGAGGGCACAACAAAATGAGGCTTCTGAATCAAAGCCTTTCTACGAGCTGCTCAACGAACGGCCGCGGGCTTGAATTCGGCCCTTCCCACGTGCAGCGAAATCTCAGCTGCTGTGTGCGGTGGTTTATGAAGAGAAGATCCAGCTAAACCAAGGCACAACACATGCTAACTGACATCCCGTCTGCAGCCATACAGGTTTGGAGATCTTGAGTACTCTTGCCAATTTTACGCACAGAATGCAGCCCACACTTCAGTTCTATTTGTCTGTGCTTATCTTACCAACTAAGAACTTCACCTGCTCCGATATGTAGAACTTGGTATCGCATACAGAATCCGGGGGTATCTGTTCTATGGCTTTGGGACCTGCAAGCTCCAAACCACGGAGAAACAGCTATTAACACACCACCAGCTCAACTTCTGCTCCTCCTGTTTGACTGCACTCAGCAGCCAAAGCCAGGTGAGTTAAGCCCACGCAAACACGCCACCACCTTTCTGCAGTGGTTTAAGATCACATCCCTGAGTGACACGCTTACCGTCCACCAGCTGCCTACATACACACTCAAGAAACAAGAGCAAGTAGTAACATTCCAGGTACGCTGCAGCACTTGTTGGTGACAGAAGTGGTATCTTTTGCTACAGCTAATCTTATTTTCTGTCTTCTAGAGCTAATGAAAGAACTACAGCAGAACTGTTGCTGCAGCAGCCCCCTGTCATGCACCAGCCTGGGTGGTAGAAGCCCCAGCTCACCTGCCAAGGGACTCTCTCCCTCACCATTTGCAAAGGAGTTCGAGAAAGGACTTACGACCTGGAATTTGCCAAAGCTTTTCAGCCGTGCCTCCTCCAGCCCACCCCCTGTGCCCCCCCACATCAAAAGCACCAATGACATTAAAAACAAGGCCAGGAGGTTATTTTGGAAACACAAGACCTACAGAAGATACAAATGTATTTGAGTGAATGCATCACAACAGAGGATATTTAGTGTTTCTTGGAGAAGGAGACAGGGGTTTTTTTATTATCCTAGAACTTTCCTATAAGTGTATTTTTCACATCCTAGCACAGTGGAGCAGTGATGTTCTTGGTTTCCCAAAGAAAAAAGCATGTTTTAGCGTAACTCATGGCCCTTACCCCTCATCCTCCAACACTTATAATCCTTGGTGGATTAAAAAAGCAGAATTAGCAGAGACTTCCCTGGATGTAGTTAAGAAAAGTTATAAGAGAAATACTGAGCCTACTTCCTTCATGGCAGTTTGGGGAAAGAACACACAGATTTGCCCTGGTTAACAGTGCACTCTATTTCTGCTCATACTGAGAGTTTCTATTGCCCTGGAAAGCCCGGCAGTCATTACGGCTCTACACAGAGTAGAGGGGGTTTGCAAACCATTATCAGTTTATTTTATCGGATTATATATGAAAACACAGATATTCCCTTCTCCCACCAAGCCTTTTTTGGCAAAATCACAACAACCATATAAACCAGAGAAGGCAGACAGTAGTGTTTTACTGATTAGCTCCCTTAAAGTGTCCCCCTGCTTGGACATCTCTTGATATTTTATTTCTACTACTGAATATGCAGACATTTATAATTATATATTTATATAATACCCGGCAAAATGTAGCTCAGCTCTTCCCTTTATTTACCAGGACGGAGCAGCAGCAGAGAATACTCACAGCTTTTGCGAAGACCCCCATAAGCTCTGGGAACTGGTGTGTCAGGAGGGCTAGCATGGCTGTGAAAGAACATAGTCCAGCAGTGAAGAGGATGAAGAAGGGAAGCTCTTTCTTGGGGTAAACTGAAACTTCATGAAATGCTGTAGAAAAATAGATGGGAACGGGAATGAATGCAGTATACATTAAGAAAAAATCCCAGTTAAAACATCAACCAAACCAACATTCTTACATAGTTTAAACAGCCAAAGACACCCAAAGAACTTCGAAAGAAGAAAACCCATAGGTCTGGAACATCTAAGGCCAACCACATTGTTGTGTCAGTCATCTCACTGCCAAATAATCCTCACCTAAAGATCCTATTTCTGGCTTACTCTGGCCCTATGTACAAGTTCCTTTTGCTTCCCTTGTGTCAGAACTAACTACAGTGCAGCTGTGCGACAACTAACCCCAGAAAACTACCCTACACATAAAAAATCCCCTTTTTCTATGCAGGTCACTGCCCAGTGGCTGTGCGTTTGCTGCTGCTGCTGCTGCACAGCGAGTGCAGAAAGTGCACCCGGGAGCAGCACTGAGACCAACACTGCAGCAGCACAGCTGTAGACAGGTTATCCGGAAAGCAGGGCATATAAACACATGCTTTGAATTCAGATTTTCAGAATTCTCTGTATACTTACAAGAATGCAAGACATTTTTAAAATGTTAAAGCCTGGAATTTAAATTAATAGCTGATTTTTAAGGCATTTGTTAGTATACACTAAAAAGAATACAGAAATTTGCTCTGCTCTGGTATGAAGAGTCGCCCACTGGGCTCTGGAGAAGGCAGCACTGAGAAGGCTGAAAGGGTCAGAAGAGAATAATGAGTATTATACTGGAAGAATATATCCCTTAAACTTTTACGGTGGTTCAGATTCAAGGTGAAAACTCAGTTGGGCTGGCAAAAGGTCTGATGGAGACGTATCTGCTTCACTCGTTCAATCCGTAGCTGGGAGCTTATGTAGAGGTCGGGGACTGCCAGAACTAGGCCTTTGTCAGCCTAAGATTTCTTGTGCTCGGTTGTTTGCGCTTGCTTCTGACACAGGCTCAAACTTGTCATTGGGTCTGTTTTCCAGCTACGGCAAAAGTTTTGCGACTGATATTTTCAATCCGGCCAGCCCATCGTCTCTTAGTGTCGTGATACAATTTCAGCTGACTCTCCTTTAAAACACACACAGGGAAAGGGTGCGGACAGGTACGCGAAACACCTTTAACTGACCTGTGCCTGTCCCGGAATGTTAAACCCTTCCCTACTAAACCCAGGAGGTTTTGCAGTGAAAGGCATTTCCCATAACTGCCAGAGCGGAACAGGACTGTCTGCATATGCTGTTAAAGAGTCCCTGGCTTCTAACATTTGACAAGAACAATTAGTTTTGCATCTAAAAAGAGAACACTGAGCTATTCTGCATGACTTGGTCATTCCTAAATCTCCTGACGCTCCACCCTCCCCAGCTCAGCATCCCTCTGTGTAAAGCAAGCAGAGCTCTCTAAGAGGTGTTGTTACAATTAGGGTGATTATAACAGGGTGGGGAGATACTGTCAGCTGCCAAGGATTTCTGTGTAATATCAGAGAGAATGTACGGAGAAGGAGACACTCACAAGGAGTGGATTTTCGCTGTACTGTTCTTACCTCATGTCAACCATAGGCTTACAGAAAGTGGCAACGCATTTTTCAGCTCAGAGCAGAGAGGTTCTGAATGCAAGACTACATGCAGTGCACATGCCCTCAAAACCAGCCTTCACAGCAGAAACAACCAAAGTTTTACTCTTTACCAGAACAGATTTCTCTCTATTCCTTCTTCAGGATAGCAGAGGTGAGAGAAGAATCTCCTTCCTTGGATCAACTTGTATTTGCCTCCTTTGCCCTGACCCCACAAACCGCTCCGCACTTGTGTGTGCCCCACTTGTGTTCACAGACAGTCCCACTCACTTCACGTGGAAATGAAGCGTAACTGTCCGCAAGATGGGCTGCTCCAGCTATCCCCCTGCGTTCCTGTGCTTCGCTGCCTGCACTACAGCAAGTCCTGTTAGCTTGGACCGTAACGCTTCCCAGGGGCTGGATCTGTCTTTGTATCTGTATCTTGCAGAGCACTGGGAGCAGTGCTGGCACTTTGCTAATACATGCGTAAACACGGATAGTACATGACTGGAGTAATTTGTTAAAAATGTATTATTATTAAAATCTCTTCAGACCAGGACAAACACCATTACACAAAGAAAGCCCTTTCCTGCCATTTACACCTGCTTTTCAGAAAAGTCGCCGTAACCCATCAGAATAATGCCTGTGTTAATGATCCAGCCCTCCTCAGGCAGGTTTGATCTTGCCTTGGAATTTAAGTAGCTAGTGTGTCTACACGAGCCTAACAAGGCTGTGCCACCAGGCTTTTGGTTTGATGGGAGGTTACCCTGGTGAAAGATCAGACATATTTTCCAGTGTCTTGGCAAGAGAGAATAGCACGGTCTGATTTATATCTCCTCCGTAACCTCTCTCCCTGTCCCTACGCTGTCAACAAGACAGACAGCTAATCGTTATGAACTATGGCTGGGAGCTGCCTCTTCAACCATCAAGGCAGCTCTGGAGACTCACTGTCAACCTGATTAGTCTAATCCAGTGAATTAATTTCAGAGGCATCAATGGAGAGCAGCGCTGCAAGACCCAGGTAAACAGTTCTTGGATGTCAACGGTAAGAAAAGTTGCACGTACACGGTAGTAGTTCTCTATCTGCAGTTTCTGTGCAAATAGGGTAAGGGTAGAAAAGATGTCCTTTTTCCAGTGGGTAGGGGATCATTCTGAAAGCTGGAAAGAAAACAATGTTGCGCACAAGTTAGTACATGTGTGGCAGGCACTGGGCATACTGAACTATATTTACAGTTTTGAAAAACAGACAAAACGTAACATTTATATTTGGTTGCCAACAGCGCATGCAATGCCAAAATGCAAACCTACGCTTAGCTGTTAATGCTGCACACACTTACGTTCACTTTTGTTCTTGGGAGAAGGCTCATGATTGTCTAGTGAGACCACATCACAACTCCATACAGAAATGTCTGCATGATCACAGCCCACTGTATTTACAACTCCATAGCCAACTTTACACATTTGGTCTTAGCTTTTCAGCCTGCAGAATTTTTAAATTCCAGGGGAAAAAAGGGTATCTAATGTAACAGGTATAGCCTACAAAAGTGACCAGCCAAGCCTGTGAATTCAGGCCAATACTCCCAATCTCTGTGCATCAACCAGAACAGAAGTTCTGCATGAAAAAAGGACACGGCTTTTTTTCCCCATCACACTCCAGCAAACTGGGTAACACTGGTGACTCAAGCCCAGAGAACCAGGTTTCCAACAGTCACGGGTTTATTTTACATTTGGGAATCAAAGATTAATACTGAATTATTAAAACCAGATTCCTCACATACGCTCTTTTTAAATGCAGCAGACCAAGTCAGCTTTCCAATGTAAGTCTTCAGGTCACGGATAAAATAATACTTAACCTTAGGCGTTTTTAAAGTTGAAAATAATAACAGAGAGGGAGGGAAATGGATGACTAAATCTGGATGGTGATGATGTCATAGGCCGTCTAAGCGTGGTTTACGCAAACATCAGAACACTTGACTGAATTACAGCTTCACAATCAAGGCATCTTTTTCCATTATCCTATATATTATTCTCACTGTTAAAATGTCATCAGCATGTTATTCTCACTACTCCCATGAACATCAGCCACTGAAGCAATACTTTCCTCAACAGATGTCTTAGAAGCACTGTGTATTTCAGATGGGAGGTACAGCCCACCGCCACCTGCTAACACTCCATTATCTCTCGCTCACGAGGCAACCGAGGAATCCGTTTAAAGTACACAATCCTCCAGTATTTTCAGGTGAGTGCCATGCGTGTGAAATGAAGTTAGCTGCATTTTTTTGTGCAATCATATGAGTGCATTGATTCTTGATTGCTGTTTAAAGCCATAGCAAAGAAGGCAGAAATCCTCAGAGGTTGTAAACCAGCATAGTTCCGATATTGCACTCCCCCTCTCTCCGTAGCACCCCAAAAAGCCAAGCACAAATACAGTAATCCGAGTCTCACATGGTCTTCACAGGCAGCAAACTCGAGCATCTGTACCGAAACCGACATGGAGGGATGGTCGATGCTCACTACTTCAACATCACTAACGTGATTTTTGCCTTCAAAATTGTCTAATATTTAAACAGACAATCAAGCCTCTTCTGCCTTAGCTTAAATCGCAGTAGTATTAAGATTCTAATCCAAATAAATGAAACAGTAAAGATGTTGCTTTTACAAAACAACTCTGGATAGATTTTGCTGAATTTAAAATTGCTCTGACATGAGAGCAAATACGGAATATTTGCAGCAAGCCAGTTCATTCAGCAGTGTCATCAGCCAGGGAAGAAAGTGCCCTGGCTCATCTCCACCAGCTGGTGGTTACGTAGGTACTTCTCTGCCGGCTCTGACAGTGTTATCCAACCCCGATTTACATCCACCAGGCCAGGTGGCAGAGAGGCGGTTTGCCATGCAACCACGTGCTCGCTGTGACGCGACCGTAGCAGTGGAGAACCCCGAGGTGGTTCTTCGTGCAGACAACAGGAACCATGACACCGATTTAAGGACCAGCAGTGACAAACAAGCACTTTAGGGTCTTCTGAGATGGGGTTACCCTTGAAACTACAGACCTTACGTAGAGAGCACCCGGACCAAACCCAGAGCCACGTTTCACGTGGGGTCACTTGGGTTTTTCCAGCTGTCCCATGAATAAAACTATTCTTTGATCGAATGAAGACAGAGCAGGAAACAACCAACATTCCAGTTCAATGATGATCATTATTTTTATAGTCTTACTTTTCTCAACTGCTAAATGCAATCTGGGAAAAGCACTCGGAGAATTTTGGAGTTTAAAATATCACACAGACACTTCCGCATAAATTGTGTTAAAGGCTGTGAATTAGGAGTGACCTTACCCTCCTCAGAAGTGTTCAAAATGTACCCCCCAAGTGACTGACCGTACTTAATTCTGTCCAATTCCCACAAGGCCAGAACTGAATACTCTGTACATACATTAAATTCCTACATACAAGCTACTCAAGTGCAGCTTGTGGTTATTTAAGCACACTGACAGAACAGTACACTTTAAGGACATGGCCGGTACATAAATACCTAGAAATAAAGTGATGGCAACAGACTGTTGGTTAGAACTAGTATTTAACTAAATTTAACTTCCCTGACATGTTTCCACTGGTTTTAACTTACAACTGTGCAGACTTGCTGAGGAAACCTTTTGCAAGCAAAGGACGTAGAAGTGACGTAAACAGTTCACTACATCCATAAAGAGTATTAGCCAGACTGAGGTATCATAGAATCACAGAATGGTTTGGGTTGGAAGGGACCTTAAAGATCATCTAGTTCCACCCCCCCTGCCATGGGCAGGGACACCTTCCACTAGACCAGGTTGCTCAAAGCCCCATCCACCCTGGCCTGGAACACTTCCAGGGATGGGGCATCCACAGCTTCTCTGGGCAACCTGTTCCACTGCCTCACCACCCTCCCCGTGAAGAACTTCTTCCTGATATCTAATCTAAACCTCCCCACTTTCAATTTAAACCCATTACCCCTTGTCCTGTCACTACAGGCCCTTGTAAAAAGTCCCCCCCCCAGCTTCCTTGTAGGCCCCTTCAGGTACTGAGGTATGTACCAAACGTTATGATTATTGGACAAAACATGGATGAAAGCATTAAAACCCACGGGGGTCTTCATATGTGAGCAATATCTGAACAAAATTCTTGAGGACTGGTGCACTGCTCATCCCTCCCTGAAATCTCTGTGCAAAATGAATTAGGGATTTTTCATTAGAGGTTATGCAACAATAATAATTTACCTCTTTACAGGCTGCTATGCAAATATTAGCTAATGAAGTATATATTCTGACTCCTACGGAAGTACTAAGGAGAGGAATCAGTTAAGGCAGTTAGATGGGAATGCCCCACACTGCCTTCAGGCCCACATGACTAGATTTCCTAGGTGGCAGGAGGACTGCGGTGCAGCCAGCCTCCTGTGCCAAAAGTCAGTCCTCATAAACAGCCCCTTAGGGACTCCCCGGCCTGAAAAATTAAAAGGAGATCTATTCAGGATTCCCTGCAAAACAATGCTCCATAATGATGAGGTAACAAGGCCTTGCGCTAAAGGACTTCCACAAGCAATCTGCAAGAGAAAAAACACTACATAAAAGTAACCACTGAAAAGAAGCCGCTGGGAAGGAAGCCGTGACAGGGAAAATCACAGGCTGGGAGACATGTCAGGAAGAGAGCAAGCAGGTAGGACAGAGAGCAGTGCAGTGGAGCAAACCCCAGGCGGCATTGGTACGGATTCCTGAGCAAGGTGTCCTACCCGCCTAGAAACAAAGCCAGTGCTTCCTCGGGGAGCCTACACTGTAAATCAGGCAACTTCAGGTCATCTAACACAGTCACTGAAACAGGAAGTCACTTTTACAAAGGAGGTGTTAGGTCTATTTCTGCAGGAACGATCATGGTGACAAACTGTATCTTTCATAACAAACCTCAAGAGAGCAGCAAATGGAGGAAGGAAACAAAAAAATGGTGGTATGCTAACATATGGAGAGGCAAAAAGAGAACCAGAAGAAAGCAGAGCAGAAAAGGGGAACCAGGTTGCAGAATGACAGATCTGCATTAAAAATGCCCACCAAGGGTGACTCTAAACGGTGAATTTGGATTCTCTGGAACCTGGAGAGAGCACATCTCAAAGACAGGATACGGTAATTCAGGTTAGGAGGTTCCTATACGACTCCGAACTCATACTCAGAGCAGGGTCAGTTTCAAAGTTAAGTCTGGCTGCTCTGGGCCATGTCCAGCTAAGCTCTGAGTATCTCCATCCCACAAGCTACCAGCAACCTGCTGCAGTGCATCCCCACTCTCATTCTGAAAGTGTTTTTCTTATGTCTATATGAAATTTCTCTTGCTGGAGGTGGTGTCTGTTGCCTCTTGTCTTTCCACTGTGCCCTTCTGAGAAGACTCTGACTCTGCCTTCCATACTTTCTCTCTGTCGGGTGGCAGAAGACAGCAACCGGATCCCTCCTTCGTCTACCAGAGGTCTGTTCATAGCTGAGTAAACCAGCTCACTGAGCATCTTTACCCACTTCACATGTTCCAGCCCCCTATATATCCTAGTGGTCCTCTACTGGAATTCACTCCAGTTTGTCAATTAAATATTAACAAATAGTATAAAACAACACAGTACTATATGTTGTTGGGTTTTTTTTTCCTGCTTATAAGGCACTTCTATAATTTCCCAATATCAAACATTCAAATAATGACAAACAAATCTCTACAATTCTGGAATGAGGAAGGTATCATCCCCTTCTCTGTTGAGTAAGAAAATATGTCACAAAGAAGATGGGAAATTTTGTTCAGTGTTACATAGCAAACACAATCCAAGAACTCAGAACCCTTCTTCTCATTTAAATAGAAGTTTGTATCTTCAGTTTAAATTTCAAATATGTCAATGCTGGTGAAGCTATAACTGACCTACAGAATTCCCACATACTATACATCACAAAAAGCTATTATTTTCTCATGACATTCAATAAAAATATTTGATTAGCTCCTTTGTAAGAAACAGAGTTACTTACTGCCTTCCCATGTACAGTGTAAGAGATTCAATGCCCCCTCTACTCTTTTCCAGTGTTGAAGATGAAAGAAAGCATATGCTATTGCTTCACTGTCCCCTCTCTTCAGAATATGTTCAGGGGGCAGAATTAAGCTTTTCATTTCTAGTAGATACTGCAATAAAAAAGGAGAGCACAATTATTTCAGAGGTAATAAAAAGCAATGCACACTGAAAGGTCTGTTTCCCTAAAGTACTTCCCCTCCTAAGTGTTTCATCAAATGTGTAATACCAGCAACTGCACTTGAAGATAATTACTGAATTATACCCAAAGACTAGGATATGCTGACAGACGGTTGATGTTTTGCTCTTCAGCTGTGGCAGGGGGACTATGGAGAGTTCCAGAATGAGATGTCTCTCTTATCAAAGGAGACAGAAAAAAGGGCTCAAAGCAGAAAAGAGAATATAATTACAAGAGCTTCTTAATTAAAAGTGTTTATAATAAAATGAAGAAGGCAATAAGCAGTTTGATGCACACAGGAAACACACAGTAGAATCACAGAATGGTTTGGGTTGGAAGGGACCTTAAAGATCATCTACTACTCCTAGTTTGCACACAGGTTGCTTCACTGCATTGCCATCAGCGGGTTCTATGAACGTGCAAGGTTGGCAGACACCTAAGTAGTTACTAACAAGTTACAAAGTAAAAGAAAGTTACAAAATGTAACAAATACCTGATTTCCAGGGTTGGGGGGGGTGGGGCGGTGAGTTAAGTATTGGATGTTTAATATTGCTACTTGAAACAGTTATTGAAAATGCTATGAAAATGCAAAGCACCTCTGACTAAACCCACAAGGAACTCTCCCGGTCACTGGATCCCCCATAACAGAAGTGGATGGAACACGCGGAGGGCTCACGCCACGGAGCAGACGGAGGTCCCGGCCATTGTTCACGCAGGTGATTTCTCCTCCTTCCCCAGCCCATGAACCAGACCCCTACCAGTTCAGCAGACCCTACTTCGTCACTAGTGCTACTACGTTCCAGTTAGCGGAGGGGAAAGATGCTTTCCGGAGCAAGGAATGACAGACAGAAACCACAGGCTGCCGAACCAACTCCCGTCTGTCGTTTCTCCTCTGGCAGCGCAACGATCCCCAGCCCTGCGCTGACTGCGCTTCAACAGCTTACGGAAACGGCCGCTCTCCTCCCAGATGCCCAAGAGCAAACATTCTCCCCGCCAGAGCGTTGCTGGTGTTAACGCAGAGGCAGGAGGCGAGTCAGGCAGCAGACTGTCAGGCCCTGACACGAGGTCCAGGGGGGAAAGCCAGGGTTGATCGCAGACACAGAGAGTGGGCGCGCAGTCCCTCCGCTTCTCTGAGGCCTCTGTGCCTGCCCAGCGGTCTCGGCTCTGGGCTGGAAGGACGGCGGGTGCGAGGGGCTGACAGCCACCCAGGGGAGGCAGCCAAGAGAAGGCAACGACACCCGAGGTGAAACGGAGGCGTGGGTGGTGTTACCCTTCGGCAGCTCCGCTTAAACGCCGGCTTTTGTGAACGGGAGACTGCAGGGCATGCCCAGTGTGTGAGCTGGCGCAGAGAAGAGGAGGAAAGAGGGCAAAAGAAATAAATGGGAATTGAAAATCACCCCTGGGAAAAGGAAGAGGAAAGGCCAGAGGGAAATGAGCACAAACAGCATCCTCGAGCCAGTTACCCCTTGGCCTGAAGGAGCCTGGAAGGAGCTATCGACCAGGTAAAGGATGGGAAGATGGCATGATCAAAGCAGAGAACTGACCAAAGAACCCTGGGAAATAGATGAAAACTTCAAAGAAGAGAGAGAAATCATGTGTGTTTCTGATGCATGCAACTAATAACAGAGGAGAAACTGAATTAGCAGTGGGAGTAATAAGTGAGATACCTGGATTTTCTCTAAAGCCTTTCAAAAAAATGTGAGAGCTGCAGAGCAGGTGGATTAATGGAGGAAGCTGCAGTTTAGGAGGCAGGACAGGGGATTAAGAGTCACAGCGAGAACAGAATAAAGACCTGACAAGAGGGAGCGAGCTGCCAAGCTCAGAGATACAGCACATGTTATTATTTGCTGCCTAATGAATCTGCCACCCTTTTAAAAACACACATTATACCTGTTGAGCAGAATGGGATACAACTCTTAAGAGCTGCAGGTTTCTATCTATCAATTTATACCGTAATTCTTACTTCCATATTCTTTTTGTGTAAGTAAATGAGAAAGTAAATTCTCAATATTTATATATTTCAATCAAAGGAAAGAAAACCCCAAACAACCCCAAGGCCATGTCACTATTTGTAGGAAAAGAAAAACCAAGCAGCAATGTCCTATTTCTAGGAGCGTTGAGAAGAAAACGTGATTTCGACTCTTACATATCGCTTGTTATCAGCGATTAAAAACAAATCAAGTGGAAATACCAGATGGAATTGTGACACGTACAAATCATTCTCAGTCCTCACGCAGTGGTGTTGACCTTTCAGTCTGCATTTTTCTCAGTTTCAGAAAGAAAAACATATTTTTAAGAGCTCCTCAGATCAGAAATGTGAAACACTCCTCCCTCATTACTCAATCACGGTTATTTTCCCAAACAGAAAGTCCATAATCTGGTTTGGTAATATTCGAGAAGACCCACACATAAAGTTGATGGATGGCTCAACGCTCATTTGGGCCTCATTAACAGTTTTTGTTTTATGCACAAAGGTCAGCCACGCCTTATAGGCATACAAACCTCAGATCAGAAATGTGAAACACTCCTCCCTCATTACTCAATCACGGTTATTTTCCCAAACAGAAAGTCCATAATCTGGTTTGGTAATATTCGAGAAGACCCACACATAAAGTTGATGGATGGCTCAACGCTCATTTGGGCCTCATTAACAGTTTTTGTTTTATGCACAAAGGTCAGCCACGCCTTATAGGCATACAAACTGTCAACGAATTTATTCTGGAGGCTCAGGAATGCTAATTGTACACAGCTCCAGAGAGACCTCGCTTGGAACACACTGTACAGCTCTCATCAGGCACTTTCAGAAACATAAAGATCAAATTCCACGAGTACGGAATAGAGCTAATCAAATAAATGGCAGGTCTGCTTTGCCAAAGGGCACTTGAAGGCCTCCATCTGTTTAATCTTTAAATAGGAGTAATGGGTACCAGAAAGGTACCTAGCTGTAAGGTAGGGTTGGATTATTATGGAAGGAGAGAGATGATTGTCCATGGAAATGAGGATGGTCCAGATTTCCTAGAATATCATATCCATTCTTGCATTACTGTATTTTCAAGGGGACTTCAAGAGCCTGGAGAGCATTCAGGTTCCTGGAGGTTTGGCTGAGAGGGCTCAGGGTCTACCTGGAGACAGCACAGCCAAGAGCAGCCCCCTTTCATGGTAACCGCAGGCTACTGGCACCCAGCTTCTCGACAGGCGGGACTGAGTCCCAGCAGTCTGCTGGGTTCCTAGCAGACTGTCTGTGAAGTAACACAGTCACAGAATGGTTTGGGTTGGAAGGGACCTTAAAGACCATCTAGTTCCAACCCTCTGCCATGGGCAGGGACCCCTTCCACTAGACCAGGTTGCTCAAAGCCCCATCCAGCCTGGCCTCGAACACTTCCATGGAGGGGGTGTCCACAGTTCCCCCCCAGAACATTTCGGTTTGGACAAGCAGAAAAATTGCAGTGAAGTGAAATTCAATGAAAAAAGAAATCTTTCTTCAAAAACTATCCAATAAGGTGCAGTCCTCACGCTGTTCATGTAACGTGTGAACCACAGTCCTGATGGGCTTCTGCACGCAGCAAGTATCTCCAGCTCTTGGAAAAAAATCAGCCAAAGACATCTGATTGTAGTTTCCAAGAGGGCTGCTATTGCACTTAATCAAAGATACTACACTAGACAGGTACAGTCTTCTCTTCAGCCACCGAAGACTTCAGGGTGGGAATCTGAGTATTTACGCCTCAGCATTTCCAAAAGCCTCAGTCCAGACCACAGCCCTTGTTGTTACAGGACTAACATGGACGGAAGATCCTACCACACCACTAAAATTCATACCAGTATGAATTCCACCTGGCTTTACAAGAAAACAACCTACACGTCTTGACAGGCTCCCTACTGACTGTAACTCCCGACACAGCAGCATCCTCTCAGATTCAACCACCATCTTCACAATTTAAGTGGTCAAACTTCACTATCTTTTCAACAGCTTGAACACACAGGGAAGACGGGAGGCTCTGAACCCGAGCGTGCTTCCACTTCAGAGGGAGAGTCGAGTAACAGGCTACATAAGGAGCTCGGCAAAGAGCTAGCCATCGTGCAGGAAATGGAGGTGGCAAGCCCAGAACATCTTCAACTGCACTCAGTTTTCATGACAAACAAAGAAGTTTGACTAGAACATAGCTTGTCACCACCCTCCGGGGTTATCATGTTCCTTTAAAAAAAGATTGAGCTTGGAAAAGACAGTTTTGAGAATTCGGCCAGAATGACCTAGTCTTAATCAAGTTACGAGCGAATACTCAAGTTGCACAATGAGTTCTGTCATCAACAGATGGCTCAATCAGCCCTTCTCCGCTGCACTGCTTGCGCTTGGACTTTTTTTGGTTGCCTTTTTTTGTTTTTCTGGTCTCCCTCTTCTCTCACCTCAAACTTTGTCCTGTCAAACCCCTAACTTTTAGGAGTTACACCAAGGGTAACAGTATTTTTCATGTGCTTCCACAGCGGGTTTCTGGGCCGGTTACACGACACTGTAACAGATACTGCGCAGCTACAGCCATTCTGTACGACAGAGGAATAGGACTTTTAACGAGCATTTGGAAGATGACAACGGACCTTGTACAGATGAAGTACAAAATGGTGGAATTCATATTTCTCTTACTCGAACTAATTTTAGATTAGATATCAGGAAAAAAATTCTTCCCGGAGAGAGTGGTGAAGCACTGGAACAACCTGCCCAGAGAAGCTGTGGATGCCCCATCCCTGGATGTCTTCAAGGCCAGGCTGGATGAGGCTTTGAGCAACCTGGTCTAGTGGAAGGTGTCCCTGCCCATGGCAGGGGGGTTGGAACTAGATGGTCTTTAAGGTCCCTTCCAACCCAAACCATTCTGTGATTCTGTGGTAATATGATAACTGAATATACATTATTTAATTCATAATATTGACAGCACTCTGGCTACT